TTTCAATCGGTGGAGATTGAAAAATAACACGTGTTAATTGAGAATTGACAAATTTTGTGATCGACGCAGAACATATATAATTAAAATAAATTTATTTTATTAAGTTTAATTGAGTGGTTAGTGAGAAAACATCGTTAGGATTTTAAAAAAACGGTTAAAAATTAAAAATAACCAAATTTTGATTGGCTAATCAAAATGTTCTAGATAATGAATTGTTACACTAATTAGTGATACGTCACGGGAATAATTAGGGTTTAATCAATGTATTTTTCTATATTTGAGAGTTCAAAAGGTTAAGCGATACTTTCTCTTAGTTTTTTTTCTAAGAGATTAAAAAGAACTTGAGGATAGAGTTTTTATCAATATGGAGCTTAGAGTCAACACTTCTACTCGAATTTCGAAGGTCAAGACTCAATTGGGATTGTACAACGAATTAAAAGTTTATCAATAATTCTAGGACAGAGAAATAACGTTTTGGAATATTTTATTACGAACATGAGAATAAGATAAGTAAAAACTACTGGAGTATTTCTACTGTTATTATTTCAAAGTTTTACTCAACTGAGTTCTGTCTTTATTCCAGCGAAAAGAGCTTTGCTTTTATACTTTTTTACAAAATATGTAATTACAGGTTTTTTTGAGATGACACTTAAGCGCTAAAGGGACTATAGGTTCTAAAGGGCAGATATGTTTTAAGGGTCACATGGGTCATATAGGTCATAAATGCCTTTAACGGCATTTATGGCCTAAATGCCACAAAAGGAAAGAAATGTTCTAAAAGGTATATGACATTACTGTCATATATGGCACAACGGGCCAAAAAGGAATAAATTACATTGGGAACTATAATTTAAGTAATTACTATTTCTACCTCTGTTGAGTTTAACATTACGTACATAGCTAATTCCAATAAAAATTTAATATATCATAGGATAAAAATAAAAAAATAATTAGGGCCCCGGGAACCCCTCACAACGTACGTATTAGCCTTTTTAAGAATATAAGTTAGATCGTACAATTTTTTATGCTTGTGTGTCTTCGTGCAGAGATCTACAACTAAATTTTTTTTACAATTCCAGAAAAGGAAAACCTTACTTCCGCCTTTTTACGTATAAAGACATTGCTATTACTATTTTAAATACAAAATCTATGTCGACATTGAGGTGATAAAATAAGATTCCTTTTAGTCTTTTTATTATTCTTACCTAGATTTACGGATATATTCCTTATTTTTTTTTAATCAGATATTTACCGCCAGATGAATTAATAATCACTTGATTCTATTGTAATATGTGGCGTGTATTAAAGATGAAATAAATGTGAGTTTGAATGACGCCGAGCGAATTGAGGCCGAGACACATTGTAGAAAAAAATGGCTCAACGTAATATAATATAGATTAGGTTTGAAAAAAGTCTATGTGAAGTGAATCCGAAAGCTATATAAAAATTTGTAAACGACGTTTATGATGTAAAAAAGATTTAAATTGCAATGAGACTGAGCGAAAGCCTTATAAAAATTGTAGTTTATGTACTTTCCTATTTATATTTGAACCTAGTCCTGCATTATCATTAAAAAAAATTGAATAATTTTAAATCTTTTAAAAAGATTTAATTTTTATTTTTAATTTTATTTTTTTACAACGATATCAAATTATCAGTAATTGATTAATTGGCATTGTCATGTTATTGTCACAACATTTGCTATATCTAATCATTAGTTGGCTGAACTGGACGATGAAGTCATTGCATGCGATTGCTACGTATATATTTAAAATTGCTAATTTAAGTAAAAAATTGATTAATGATCATTACTATACCTAGTAACATGCAGTATAATAATATTTTCGACGTGTTTGTGTGACATTGTCACGACGACATTGGTTCCAGAAGCAAAATTGCTGTTTATTGATTCGAAAGTAAAGGATTTTTTTAAAAAATTTAATAATTATCTACATATCCATACTTTTGTAATACATAGAAATAGAATAAAATCATGCGTCTTCAAAATCTCATGAAAATATTCATTATTCACCTTTTTTTCGAAAAACTAATAATCTTTACACATCTTTAATAGTAATCATGAAATTAAATTTTCTTTTTAACATATTTTCCGTAGTTGCTATTCATAAAATATGTGCATACCCTAATCATAAGCGACTGCCTACCATTAATTTGGTAAAAAAGAGTGACCGTTGAGACTAATAATACAAATGCAATTACGATTTACGATCGTATGAAGCAAGCAGCCAAAAACAAATACTCTAACTATAGAGGTCTTAATTCAATATCTTCTAATATAACAACTTCTAACAATCGAACATCTTCGAATATAGCAACAGCATCCAATAAAACAACTTCTAACAATATTTATTCAAAAATTGGGAACGGTCAAGGCACCACGCTTATAAAAAATATGGCGTTAGATCAATTATATTATGGAGAAATGATTGTTGGGAATCAAAAATTTAATATGCTTCTAGATTCTGGATCTTCACCTTTCTGGATTCCAAATAAGAATTGTACTTCTGCTGCTTGTCAAATTCATAAATATGATTCAAGTAAATCACCAACTTTTAAACCAGAAGGTAATCCATGGTCTATCTTCTATCAAACTGGTACTGTTTCTGGTGTTACCGGAATAGATAATGTTCAAATTGGACACATTATTGGTAAAAATTAAATTATTGATCTTTTAGATACTGAACCTGATGATTTTATATCATTAGAAAATGATGGACTTTGTGGACTAGCATTTGACGAGTTGAACATCATGAATAATGGTGCTCCAACAGTAATCTCTACTTTAATTACACAAAAGAAAATTAATGCAATTTTTAGTTTTCATTTCCAACATTATTAACCCCGTGATTCCTAATTTTGGATACTGGATGATAAAACTAGATGATGCAAAGGTTAATAACAATCCAATGTCGTTTTCTGGAAAGCTTGCACTCATTGACACTGGCATTACAACTATGTTAATACCGCCAAATGATGCTGAAGCAATTCATGAACAAATTCCAGGATTTGAATATGATAGTCAAGATGGTGTCTACATTATCCCATGCGATACCACTGCTATTGTTTCTCTTAAATTTGGAGGTGTTGATTATGAAATTCCATCCAGGGATTTGATTTTTTTACGAATATCTAGCACTCAATGTGTATCATCCATTTGACCTTTAGATATATTCGGTGATTCTTCTATCTGGGTCGTCGGCCTAACATTCTTAATAAATGTATATTCAGTATTTGATGTGGAAAATAGAAGTGTTGGATTTGCACATAGTAAATAATCTGCACTACTCCTTTCTAGTCATTTATTAATGCGTCATAGTATTGTATTGTATTATTTTAATGTAGTCATATTCTTTTGAACTTCTATATATGTCTCGTAGATATAAATTTTGCACCTTGATTCAGATTAATATAATGTGCTTATATAAGAATATTTTTTAATAAGATTATTAATAAATTGGTTCAAAATTTTATGTGATTATATAGAAGTTGTGATAATATAGGAGGTGACTATAGAGGAGTACGACTGTATTTAATTTAATCTTACTTATCGCCATATTCTTCACCCATGCTTGATATAATAAAGCAATATGTTTACATTATTATTGTATAAATTCTTTTTCTTTTGTCATTTTTCCTTATTAAATTGTTATTTTTCATTTTGTATTATTTTCTTTCTTCCGACAATTACACGTGATTATATGATCTACTAAAATAAACCAATAATGAATCTCGGTATGGTGTCAAAAATCGCTTACTACATATTACTTTATATCAGTTGGTTCAGTTGATTTAAGTGGTTTGGTTAACCTAGTTGACTCAGTTAACCTGTTTAACCTGTTAAGTAAGAATAAGTTAACTCGGTTGACTCAGTTAAATTAGTTTAACCGGATAAGTAAGCTAACCAGTTTGACCGAAATAAGCGGTTAAGCCGACTATACTAATACCAGCTTGAATTCGATTCGATTAACCGGTTGATGGTTTTTTTTTTATAACTATGAATATCAAAGAAAAACTTTATTATTTAGAATGATACAGCAAATTAGAAATGCTTACTTTATTCGTTATATTTCATAAACGTAATAGTTTTTAATTCATCAAAGTGTAACTACTTTATATGTTTCAGATCCAGGATTAGTCAAAAAAAAAAAAAAAAGAAAAGAAATACATGTGATATTATCCTTGAAGCGTTACGAGAAAAACTGTTAGCAAAAGTTGTAGATATTTATAACAAATAATTGCCATATATTTTATTATTTTATTATTTCCTAGCATTATTCTCGAATTCTCTTATAGCATTGTATTTTTGTATGTCGAATTAAATTTATGTTAGATCCAAATTTAATTACCAAGCTTTCGAATAAAAGTTTATATTAGGAAAGGGCTGATATTAAAGGTGTTACGCATAATTATTCGAATTATAATCCAACGTACCGCACACATAAATATATTCTAATTCCATGGTCCAGAGGATCATTTATTTTAGCATTAATCAAGTATGTGATCTTTAATGGTCGCACAAATCCGAAAAATTTCTAAAGGTAGATTCGACATAATAGTTTAAGTGATACAATAATTTATTACAGTTATTGCGCTGACTAATTAAAATAAATATTAAGTATTTTTGGTTAAGTAAAAGAAAATTCGGTTCACATTTTTTTTTTTTATAAATCTACGTTTAACAATTAAAATAAGTTAGACTTTATACTCCGAATTTCATGGTAGAAACTTCTTGACAGAATAAAATTTGCATCAATAATAACCTGAAATTAAACGTTCTTTGTCAGATTGCCGTACATACACATACAATAATTGTACGTATGTATGTCATTTTTAATGTACACTAAAGAACTAATTAATTAAAATTTCATATTCACGGACGTTGTTTCCGGTTTTTAATGCATTTATAATCAAAATTCCTAAAAAGGATATTTGTATTGGATTTATTGATTAATAAGGAAAATTTTAATATATATATATATTTATTACATATTTACGTATAAATTTAAAGCATTTTTACTCATTTTTCATGACAATTCAAATATTTACGCGTTTTTTGGACATCTTTGAACATTTGTTACCTGATTGACAAGTATAACCTGTATCGCAATAATAGCCACTCCCACATGAGACCGAATTACTTAAGTAAGTAGAAGAGTTTG